TTAAAATATAAACCCATTCATTATTTTATAACAGTATAACATAGACTGATGAAATGATAGCAAAAAAAAAAAAGAAACTTTATGTGATAATATGTAATGTGTTTATGGGAAAAGAATGTTTTCAAACTAGAATTAGTTGAGAAAAGTAATTTTAAAATCTTACAAGTCTAATGTCTGGCTTAACAGGAGACAGCCCTACTCTCTTATCTGCCTCTTTATTTAATCTGCAGTAATATCATTTAGCATGTAGCTTCAGGAATCCTTTGTGAGGTAATGAGATTGAAAAGGATAACACTAGTATGTTTCTCTTGTTGTTAGGTGCCATCAGGTCTACCATGACTCCTGGCAACTCAGTGAGCAGTAGGTCTGAACCCTGCCGTATCCTGCCCCATCCTCACCATATGCCCGAGCCCATAGTGACAGTTACTCTGTCAGTCTGTCTGACTAGGACTGACTCCTCCTAAGAACATGCCCGTAGACAAGGTCCTTGTCACTAAGGAGCACCTTGGTTGCACTTCTTCCAAAACAAAGTTCTTTGTTGTTTTCAACACTCTCCTCCAAAAATAAGCATCATTCAAAAGCATCAATTCTTCTGTCATCTGTATTCCTTGTCCAGCTTTCCACAGCACAGGAAGCAATTTAAAATACTGGGGCTTGGATCAGGGATACCTTAGTCATTAAACTTCCATCATAATACCAGGATAGCTAGGAAATTAGTTTTGACCTTGTAGAGCCCTTGGGAGAGTGTCAGGGACTTCCCCACAGGGTTCCTGGACCGTGCTTTGAGAACCACTGCCATAGTATTCTATCCTCCAGAACCTTCCAGTCCTGCCTTCTCCCATCTCTAGAACAACCTGCATCCCATAATGAGCAGAATTAAAAGGGGTCTAAGCAGAAATGTCAGGTGTATAGATTGCTGAGGGCTTGACTTTTGGTTGGTCCATTGTGTAGGCTCCTGTCTTTCTGGGTTCTGAAGCTCCTATATTCCATTAAGCTCTGCCTACCTTCCAGACCCCTGAAAACGCATAGATTCTTTATAAGCAAGTGGGGAGGGTAAGATTCCTGCTAACATGGCTGTGGTTGGAGGGCAGACCACCAACGGGCATGACATGGAACTTTCTGGAGTGATGGAAATACTCTTTTTTTCTGTGCTTTCTAATATGGCAGGCACTGTCATTGTGATGTGCCGTCCAGTCAGAAATGATGCATAGCTGACCCTCCAGAGAGTTTTCAGAGTCTACAAACTGAACAGGAGGAGCCTGCATATTTTTCTCCCTTAGAGCAGCTTGTAGACTCGAACCTCAGGCCTTTAGGTTGGCAGCACAACTCCTTAACCACTAGGCCACCAGAACTGCCTAAAGGCCCATACTATGCTGCCTTGAAGGAATGCCTCGTATGTAAGGTGTGTATTGCTAACCAAAGTTTAACAGTTTGAATCCACCGAATTCTCTGATCAAGGAAGATGGGCATTCTCAGAGGCTGTCTGTGGGTGACCCGCTGTCCTCCACAGATCTGTAATAAAATGCTTATGGATATTGAAAAAAAGGAAAAAAAAACACAAAAACCATGGACATTCTCTTGTCCATGATTTGGAAACGAATGTAGCAGTAGCTCTGAGTTCAGAACCAATTTGATGGCGGTGGGGTTGGGTTGGACTGTCTTAAAGGAGCCCTGAGGGCATATTGTGTAAGCTATGAGGTTACTTATCCAAAGATTGGCAGTTTGAATCCATCAGCCTCCTATCAGGGATAAAGCTCTGTGGGAGTCTGTGGGCAGCCTCCTCCCTTGAAGACCTGCAGCCTCACAAGTCCTTGGAAGTGGGTTTACACTGACTCTGTGCATTTGGAATGTACCTACTGCAACAGACAGACTGAGGGTGTTTTATTGATTGAATTCTTTAAAAATGAAAATAGACAATGGCAGCTCAAGCAGGCCTGGGGAACCCAACAAGGCTTCTGTAAGAATTGATTAGGCATTTTATGTTGGTCAATTCACAATCGGGAACAAGAAGTGCATTACAAAGTGAACTGGGGGGAGAAGGGGGTGGAGGGAGGAAAATGTGCATTAGTGAATGAATGAAAGCCCAACCTTTCTGTAAAACTTCATTAAAATAACAAAACAATAAATGCGTAGTTCCCATTCCAGGCACGAAGGTGGAATGCCTGGGGGAAGGGTTTTGAACCT